ATAGACAGGGCAACAGACCGGTTTGTCTTTTCTGACCCCGGAGATCAGCTGTGCAGCAGATAATCACAGGGGAAAGAGTCGAGTCATGAAAGGAATCAATGGAAGAAGATGAGGTGGAGCTTAAATGATAAGTTGTGTAGGTTGTGTAGAACAGGGATGGAGGTGCCTATAGAAGGACCAGATGAGAACGTCGCATAATGCAGTACAGATGGAACTGATGCTGAAAAGCCACAGAGATATGTGCTGGTTTTCAGAGAGATGGTAAGAGTTAAGCCACGCAGTCATAGATGAATATATTGAGGAGGAGACGACACAGTGGAGGTGGGTGGAGTGGTGGATGGCAGACATCAATCCATATACGATGTATGTTGATTGTGGTGGGGTCATGAGATTTGCCCCGGAGCCTGTAGGGAAATTCTGCAATCAGAGGCCAACGATGGCAGCCGTCATTAAGCTGCAGTCACAAAGAGCCGTGGCACTTAAAGAGGAAAGCCTTGATGTTTCGACTTATCAAGCGCTAAAGGACTAATGTGTTAGCGAACATTTAGCTGTCTTTGTTGCCACATGTCAAATTTAGGTCCAATATTAGCACAGGTTTGGTCCGCCAACCCCCACAAAAATTATTCCAATCTTTTCATCTTGCTGGAACTGGATCTCACTCTCATCACCAGCCATTCATTTACTTTGGCTCTACAATACAGAAAAAGAGTTAGTTGTGCAAAAGCATCAATTTTCAGACTTTTTTTTCCCTGAGTATTTGTGCAAAATGTGCTTCTTCACATTTACATACTTACTTTCTTACTTTTGACCTGAGAATTTTTCTCCCTCTCCCCGAGGATGAGGGAAGGAAAGCCCGGTTTCTGCTCATGACTGTGGCAGCCCATTGTCCCAACTGTTACATCAAGACTGACTCATGCACAGAACCATGCAGAGTTAATCTCATCATTCCAGTGTCTTATCTTGTCAAACCACCGTTACCATCACATGGTCACAATGGTTATTCAGTTTTATTTGCAACAATTGTCAAACATAGTTGGATATCAAAAAATAGGCACAGGCCTAACAGTCCTACGTGTGCTTCTTGTTTTTATGTCTACATCATTAGGCCACACTGTGTGCGCTCTGTCTGTGTGTAGTTATTCTTTTAATTCACTGGTTTGAGGGGGCTGCAGTGTAGGCTAAAAGGTATGAGGTTAGAGATGAGGTTGCTGGCGATGGAGGGGCATCCAGGGGGGGGCTGCAGGACTATGATTGGGGTAGCTGAAGGGAGGGCTTTGGGGGGCTGCGGTGGGAAGATAAGGGGCTGGATGTGTGGTTAGGAGGCTGTGTGTGTGTGTGTGGGGGGGGGAGCTGCTGTTGTAGGCTGCAGCTGGCAGAGCGGTGATAATCAGCAACCAGACCTCCTCTGTCTTACCTCCTCTCCCCCTGTATTCCTCGCTTCTCTACCGAGCTATATGATGCACTGTTGAACTCAACAGTGGCACTGATTTCCAGTGAATGATGTAGTGCTGTGTTGTAAGCGCACTGTTACTTGGCTAAGGAGCCTGAGCTCATGAAACTATAGCCAGAACTGTTGAAAGCTTCAGTATCTAGCCAGGTCGTCTCATTGTACAGTCTCCATGACAGCTCTTCAAGAGCTAAATGAACTCTTTCTCTGCTGGGGTCTGGTGATTGGAGGAATATATTAGCTATTGGCGTCATTTTATTTTGCTAACGGTATGGTCTGCCTCCTGGAGAATTGAACTCAGTAAATAATTAACCCGTAAAGCGCATTTTGCTAACAGGAGCTGGCAGTTGGAGTTGGGCTCGTTCTTGTTGCAGTGATTTCCATCTTTCTACAAAACAGGGCAGTGACTAAATGGCCATTAAGCCGTCTTTAGTTGTTGCTGTCTAACCAATTGGTGCTGAAAAGCAAAGTCAATTCATAAATTGGATTTGAGAACTAGACCAAAAACTGTATGTGTGGTTGTGCACACCCTGATCATTTAATAGCATATGTTATCCCCACCTGTTTGTTCATTTAGAAGCTGCAAGCAGAGGCGTCCTTCATCTGACGCCATCAGACTCTTTTTCAAAACACACACACACACACAATCGAATATTTTTCTCTGAATTAAAAGGAATTTAAAAAGAAAAAAGAGAAGTCATGGTATCTGCTGTTAACCAACCACACGTATCCTTCTGTCTCATATTCTGTGAGAGCTGATGTGGTTTGGCCACTTGGCCTCAGGCTGATGTTGAGGACAGCTATCAGTGTCCCTGCTCCTGCACATATCTGCCTGACAGTCTCTTATCTATCATGAGCCTCAGCTTTCACTTGTGGTCTTTCACACCTCTGCAACAGAAGAACACATTGGGGTCATGACAGGCCAATAAGAAATTTAAGAAACAGCAAGGGCCAGGTTTCCAAGTGCAGGGTTTTCCAAAATGTGATATGTCCACATTGAAAAACAACTGTTCTCTGTTACTCAGTAATATACAGTGCATGTTTCAAAAGTAATGGATATTATAGTATTGTAAGGAATGATCTCCAAATAAAAATATCAGTGAGATAGGAGCTCCATGGTGTCAGTTACACAAAAGATCCTGGGTACATTTCTTCCTCTACTGACTTGCAGATTTTTTTTTAACATTTAGCAGATACCAGGAAGAGCAAATTTGTAACTTTCTTCTCATGAAAAATAAACATAACTGAACATCAAGTACTGCACTTGTGGAGTTGTTTCACTTTAGTGTGAGTGTGTGTGTGTGTGCGCCTGTTAAAAGACCAGCAACATGATTGTATGACATGAATGTAAATATATTGACATTGGTTTTCTCAGCAGACATACGTAATTACATACATTTCATAACTGCAGAACATCGAGAAGGTCTTGAAACACAGAGAATGTACCATTTCTTTGTGCTTCATCATGGTCCATATAGATAGAGAGATATAGTAATAGAATATAGATTTTTATCTTGAGTCAACAGTTCTACTACTACAGCAACAGAAATAGCAAAGTATGAAGTTGAACGTCCATCTGTGGTTGTACGGTCTCTTCAAGTCTTGTGAAGCTTTGCGGCAGCAAATCATACCCTGTAACTTCCACATTACACCATGAGATATCTCTCAAGCATACTGCACATACAGTAAGGTGGCTGTGTATCCAACCAGTGCATGTATGGTGTGAGAAATAGAGTGTTTACAATATTGTAGAGCCCTGTGGTGAAATACTACATGACGGTAAAAAGTCCATTGAAGTCAGGTTGTTTTCTCAACAGCTTTCATTGGCCATCATATATGTTTACTCTGAGTGTGTACCTCAGTGTTTGTCCACGTATGAGTGTGTGTGTTTGAATGTGTCTGGGTGCGTACGCGGCGGGGGCGCAGCCTCGTATGTTTGGAGTGAGTGCCGTCAGTTAGCTGGAATGTGGCGCTACCGCCAATGCTAAGATGGCTGCCAAGCTCTAAGATGGCTGCCAGGATTACACCCAGCCAGTGAGAGACAGAGGAGTGCGAGAGATTCTGCATGTGAAGAGAGAGGAAAAAGAAGCTCTCTTTCATTTCTGGTCTCTTTCTTTCTTTCATTCTCACTCTCGTCTGTCTCGCCCCTCTCTCTGTGGATAAGCAGTGCTTCGTAGGCAGCGAGACAGGTCTGTTATTGTTTCTGCTCAGTAATCTGTGGCTTAGTGTGGCTGCAAGGCAAGTGCTGCTGGCAGGAGTCTGTGTGCTCTGTTATCACCTACAGCCTGCAGATAAACACCTCCTTTAGCTAGCTTGCTAGCTAGCTACTGCCTAGCTAGGCCTGAATGGAAGGCCAATAGCATTAGCCCCCACGCCACACCAGTCCTGGAAATGGAGCTGAGTCTCATTCACCAACTCATACATGTGGTCACAAAGGCCGAGGAAATACGTACAGCTGCCAAGCATGTGTTACGTATTCAGGAACATATATCCATAGACACATCTGACATCTTTCTTCACGGCCCGGACAAGAATGCACCCTCTTTAGACCAACTCTCCAAAGGACTCATGTTACAAAACCTCAGCTTGCAACCTCCTCTTTCTGCCTGTAGCTCTTCCAGGTCTAATTGTGACCCTTTGTTGCCAAGACTTGGCATGTTTGTATCTGCTCTTGTGAGTGAGGCCCCAGTGCTTTCGTAGGCCAGTCATAACAGGTGTGTGTTTGTGTAAATGTGTGTGTGTGTGTGTGTGTGTGTGTGTGTGTGTGTGTGTGTGTGTGTGTGTGTGTGTGTGTGTGTGTGTGTGTGTGTGTGTGTGTGCTGGGTGCATGTGTTTGTGTTGCTCTGCTTTCATTTGATCCCAAGAGGAAGAGTTTTGCCTCAACTTTGATAAACTCTGCCTCAAATCCCTCGGGCCTGCCGGACTGGCGCGGTCAGCCTTGTCACAGGGTCACTGTGTATGTTTATGCATTCATGTGTTCAGGATTACAACATGTATTAAAGTATGACACAAAAATTATAGAAAGAAACAGATTGAGAGAGAGTGTGCATGGTTGTGTGGGTGTGTGTTCATATTTGTGTGTGTGTGTGTGTGTGTGTGTGTGTGTGTGTGTGTATGTGTAAGGTGCTCTGTTTACGCAGACTAAATCCCTACCAGCAAGAAGGTATTAAATAGGATTAGTGCGAGGAATATGATTGCGTGGTTAGATACTAAATGGCATAGCAGCACACTGTAAATCATTGCACCTTAAGTCAGGAGGGAGAGAGGGAGATGGGAGAGACAACACACAAAAATGTGTGAATTCACACACACACACACACACACACACACACACAAGATGTATACCATACCCCAGCACATACTGCAAGTCCTTCTTATTCCCTCTCACACCTCAAATATCACAGTCTTGGCAGCACGGACACGGAGCTATGATTCAACAAGACATTGTACACTTACCAGTATGTTTTCCATTACTTTTTTTAGCATACAAACCAACCGGATCCTAACCACTTGTCTTTCTCTACTTCCCCTGTCTGTCTCTGTTTCTGTGCAGAATCCGGACAATCAGACAGCTCCAGCCAACAGGGGGACACAGACATTAAACCACCGCCCAATGGTAGGTACACACACACATACAGACACACACACACATCCATGTCCAAACACTGTCAAATCACCATACTAGAATTGATTCCATCATGCTTATCAGTCTTAACATATTCCAATTATGGATCCAATTAGCAAACACACTCACACAGATGTTGATCCACAAACATAGTTGCAGATGGTTGCCCTCTCAAAGGGCTGTGATTTTCAGGGTGTTCCAATTTTTTTTATTTTTTTTTTTTTATTTGGTTTTGGTTCAAACACAATTTCATGAATTTCTGATGTAGTGTTGTTTTAATTCCCTCCTTTTTTCCAAAACTTTTGTGTGTCTATGCGAGTCCTGATCACATCCTTTTCTGTGCAGGGCACCTGAGTTTCCAGGACTGCTTCGTCACCTCAGGGGTGTGGAATGTGGCAGAGCTGGTCAGAGTGTCACAGAGTAAGTACTAAAAACACTACACACTCAGGCATAGGAACCAAGAAGAAAAAAAAAAACAGTGTAGAAAAACAAATACCATACCTACACTGTGGTACAGTGTGATTTGTGGCTCGGAGTACGTTTGGTTCGTGATTGAGACAAAAAACTGCAACAAAAAAAAAAAACAGCTAAATTGAAGGAGCACAGTACTATCCAGTGTCAGTGCCTTTTTGAGTATAGCTACTACTGAGACACAATGGAACTCTGTGGATGATTATTTTCCTCCATTGACAATCTCTGATATGTATCATCTCAACTCACTCATTGCCGTTTATTTTTCTTCATGTTAGCTCCTGTAGCCACAGCGTCGGGTCCTAACTTCTCACTGGCTGACCTGGACAGCAGTCCCAGCTACTACAACATCAACCAGGTGGCTCTGGGGCGACGCTCCCTCACCTCCCCTCCTTCCACCAGGTACACAGTCTGAGCTATAAGTCCACACAGACAACAGGAGTGCACAGGTGTATAGAGGTGCATATTGCTCCGGAAACACCAATGACCATTATACAAGTCCAGCTGTTTGCCATTAGTAGAGTCTCTTGTGGGAGAAGCCACCGTGTGGCTTTAGCAGTGTTAGCTTGGCATGTGATTCGCTGCGATGCCAAAGGCAAACCGGAGGGAAGTGTGAAGTCACAGTAATATGTGCCAACAGTATATCGCTTCTTATCGCAAGGATGACTTTACTGGCAAGTAAAGTACGCCAATTCATTGAGGTTTCTTGCTGTGAATGACATTTAGTACCACATTCCCTGTCTAGGAATCTGTCCTTAACCTCGTTACTGTATATATGTGTGTGTCTCTCTCTGTTAGCTGTTCTCCTCTTTATGTGATGTGTGATGGCTCTTTCTGCTTTTTCTTCTTTTTTGTCTTTCTTAACTTGTCTCTTTCTCTCCTCTTACCTCTGTCATCCGCTGTCACTTTAGGTCTGAGGTGGAGTTGTACGCAAATCTTCCACGGAGGTAGTTATAAAAACACCTACAAAGACACAAACTAATGCGACACATGCACAGAAAAACACACATACACACACACACACACACACACACAGAGAGAGAGTCTTACTGTGTGGCTGTCTCTGCTGTCTAACATTTCTTTCTGTTTCCTCCTTTTTCATGCGTAGTTTTGACATTTCTTGTGCTTCATGTCTGTTCTGCTGTTTGTGATAATGTTATTGTTTCCACTAAGATGCAAAACCTGAAGCCTCTTTAAAAGTTTAAATGCTTGTTTATATGATCACTTTTATGTTATCAGCCTTGCGAGGTATTTTATCCTTGAGCCATACATACCCTGCCATTATATTTAAAAAAAAAAAAAAAAAATCATGCCTCCCCTCCCTCTCTCTTTCTGCCTCCCACCTCTCCTCCACCCTCCAAACATCCTCCCCATGTCCTCAGCTCCACCAAGAGGAAGTCATTAGACGACAGTGAGCTGGAGAGTCCCACAGATGATGTTTTCTACCCTGGACGCTCACCTGCTGCCAGCTCTTCCCAGTCCAGTGCGTGGCCCAATGACATGGATGCAGGTACCCCACCCTATCCCACCCCACACCTGTCACCCACTAAGAAAGCATCATGAAACTTTTTTATACACCCCTGCCTGACCCCCACCTCACCACCTACACCAAAATCCAAACTGATTCCTCCATCTGACTCTGTCTCTTCTCCACACCTTACCTCAATCACTTACAGTACCTTCACTCTTCACAGCCCTGAACACCCCTCTGACCCTCCCACTTACCCACCAGCCACCTTCCTTGAGACCCTTTGCCTCAATCTGACCATTGTACAACTTGGAGAAACAGGAGCACCCTAGGATTACAGCTCATACTAACAAAAGTTTAAGTTTTCAAGAGAAAACAAACATTAAGAGTGCTTCATTTATCTAATATTGAAAGCTATGACCATGGTTGACCAGGATGTACTGGTCACAGAGTCTAGCAGTTTGAAGAAGAAGCACTTGAGTTGTGTAAATATGTCATACCCTGTCATATATTTAAGCATGTAAATATATGTAAACTTACAAAATACAACTGTTTAAGATCTAACAATTTTCCCAGATTTTTCTCCATCTATGACAAAGACATAAAGACACCTGCCAAAAGAAAGGAGACTTGGACAAATAATGAAAGAGCACGTTTAGGTCTAGTCAACAAAAAATATAATCAGCAATAAATGGTCATCACTCTCACCTTATGTTGAGGCTATTTTACGCTAATTGCAATAGTCTCTTACTTTATTGTTCGGTAAATGGCTTTAAAACCATCAACATGATTTAAATGACAGTCTGTGCCATTTTTTGGTCCGAATGTTTTCAACACCATCACTATAACCCCAGAAAATTGAATTCATCATGGATAAATGGTGCTTAATGCCATCCACCAAATAGCTCCAGACATTGGGAATATAAATGCCAAGATGAATCAAGAATGAAATAACAGCTTACAGCAGCCTGTATTAAGGCTTTATGTTGGTGTTTCCATTGTTTTGGCAGTAACCACTACCTCTGCAATTCAGCTTTGGACATTACCCTCTTTATTCTACCTCATCCCTCCAAGAACCCAATAACTCCAAGGAAAAAAACCCGCTCTTGTTCCCTTCATTTGAGTCCTCACTCCCAAATCTCAAGGCTTCATACTTCCTCATCCTCACCTTGAAGCCATAATCACACACACAGTTTACTTGATTTTGTGTTAGTTATCAGCCATTCACCTACCTCCTTCATACACAAATGTTCACTCTTACCTCTCTCCCTATCCCTCTCATTTTCTCTCTCTCTCTCTCTGCCTCTCTGTCTCTCTGTCTCTTTTTCACTCTTCCCCTATCTCATTGTTAACAATACCCTTCTCCACTTTCAGTGCAGCACCATTTGGCGAGTGTGCAGGAGAGGAAGATAAAACATGAAAACGATGGCGTGCAGTTTCCTTACCATGGTTAGAACAACATTGATTACACTCATATGTATTTGCTATTTACCAGCCTTTTATGTAGCTCAGTCATTCCTGTGTATGTGTGTGTATATATATGCATATATACATACAGTATATATACATATATATCATATATACTGTATGTGTGTGTTTGTATGTGAATTGTATGAATGTCTGTGGTAAGGACAAAGACAGCGTAAACAAAAATGGGACTGTACTTGTGTATTAACCTCAGTAATGTTCAGTTGTCATCAGATTGATGTGATTGCTGCTGATCAAAGTTTCATTTATTGTGACGTACAGTTGCAGGATTGTCAAGGATTATTCATTTCAGGCTTTGCTCTCTGTGTGACACATGAGGCTACAAGTAGCTCACCTAAGATCCCTGGCTTTATCTCACTGAAGTCAGTCCTCCCAGCGGCACTTAAACTGACAGATGTCACACATGCACATATACTGTACATACACACACACACACACACACACACACACACACACACGGTGACTCACACACTTCCAGCCCCCCTCATATGCAGACGTTCACACATTGAAACACACATGCTTATCATGCTCCCCACCCCTGCAGGTGTTCAGGTGCCTGCCTTGCCTCCATCCCTCTGTCGCTCCATCCCTCCCTTGCTTCAAATCCCTCATTAAGACGCTTACCGTCTGCGGATCAGAGGTGTAAAACCCTTCCTCCTGCTCCCTAGCTCTCCCTTCAACCCTCCATCCCTGTCTCCCTTCTGTCTAATTGAAAACGTGTACTGCAGGAAGGACCCTGGGGAGGGAGAAAACATGTCAGAGGAGAGAAGGAGGAGAGAGAAGCAGAGAGCAGGCAAGTGGATGGGAGGTGAGAGAGGGAAGAGAGGAGAGAAGAAGACTTAAATGGTGATGGCTAATGAGAGAGAAGGGTTGTCAGGATGTGAGCTAAAGGAGCCAAGAGCCCTGGTTAGGTTTTGCCCCAGTCTACTCTCACTCGAGCCTCAGCGGCTGCTCTCCTGCTCCTGCTCCTCTTAGCTGTAAATGTAATTAAGAGGCTGCTCATCAGAGCCACAACAGAGACTGCTGCACGCCTTAGCGCACCAGAGCCTCACCTCCCATCTTTTTCCTGTCTCTCTCTGACTCTCTCCCTCTCTCTTCCTCTCTGTGTATGTGTACCACCCCCTTACTCTCCAAAGTGCAGCACATAGCCTCGTACACCTCCTAATGAGTTTGGCAAATAGAGGTGTAGAATAGCATGCAAATCTGGTCCCTTTACCAATTAATTTACAGACTCCAAGTGAAAAATTAGGAAGCCAAAACGTTTTGTAATTATCAGACTTTTTTTTTTTTTTCAATTTTGTGTGGGTTTAGAACTAGTTTTAAACAGTAGCCAGCACAAAACGTATTTCACACTTGAGAATCCAAGGCAAAAGGAGAGACTGATAGCTGTGGGAGAGCAAGGATGGAGCAATTAGAGAATGTGCGATTTTGGTACGGTGTGTATCCGATTTTCCAAAGGATCCCACCTGCCACAGGCAAAGCTCATCTGGGAATCCTGTCCAGGTTGGGGGTATGTAAACAAGTGAGCACACACACACACACACACACACACACACACGCACACACACACACACACACACACTCACAAACAAACCGAGGGGTTTCTAAAACAACAGAAAAACGCACACACAGACACACACACACACACACACACACAGGTGTGCTTCACCGTCTGTCCACAGCACCATCTACTCCCCCTGACTCCTTCCATAACCAACAGAACACACACACACACACACACACACACAGAAAGATGCATTCATACATATAAATCACACAAACACGGTTACATTCAGATACACACATGATAGATTTCTGCACACATATCACACAGGCCACACAGATACACACACACACACACACACACACACACACACACACACACGCATGCACAGCTGAAGCATGGTCCCAGATGGTGTTTCCGTGTGTGTGTAGCCTTGGGATCCGTGAGGATGCTGGAGACATCTGCTCCACAGGGGCTAGAAGTGGGGTGGGGGAGGTTAGTGGAGGCAAACGAAACAACCATGATTTCATATTAGTTCCAAATGATTGTGAAATTTTCCTCAGACACCAGAGACTTGTGGTGGTGGGGGGCTTGCTTGGTGATTTGAGTTAAATGTTACAGGCCCTTAGAGGGGTACGACTGGACTCACATATGTGCTTTAAATCACTGGAGAGAGGAGAATTCCCTGACTTTGCTTCACTTGTTTAAACCACTGTCTCCTGTCTTTTCCAACTGTGTGTGTGTGCGCGTCTGCGTCTGTGTGTGCTTCAGAGGCGCATCTGGTGGCAGGCCTGTTAGTGCAAAGAGACAGAAGGGTCATCATGGGAGCGCTTGATTGGTTGCCAGTGAAATACTAAGTCTTGCCAGGAGAGGAAACACTGCAGTTGTGGCACATACACACTCAAGCACACAGACACACACACACAGACACACAAACCAGATCAGACCATTGCATAGTCTCTGAAATACTGTCTTTCACATTACCTCGGTGACAGTGCTCGAACTTCCTGTGTATACGGATGTCAGTCTTCATATGATCTTCTCTGTGTTTCCTGGCTCATATTTTTTTATACTGAAGTTTTATGTTATAATTCCAAAATAAAAGCACATAACTACCTCTCTGAAACCATAACTCTTTAATCTACAAGGTTCTGATTTCTTCCAAATCTCAGTCTTTCCCAGCTCTCCCCTCCAGGTGCCTTTCCTTGTTTAAGTCTCTGCAGACTGCTCTTATTTCGAGTTTGCTCCCACCAGTGTGACAGTGTCATAGCAATCACTGCTAACTACTGGTGTCAGAAGTGGGATCGGGGTTGTCTTCATGCTTGGAATTTGTCTGACAGTACAATACGCCCCCAGACTCCCACTATAGTGGGGGGAGAAAAAAAAAGAAATATATGTCTGCTAAAGACATAAATGGTTCACACATATTCACTCCCACCTGCTTGAGACTTAACTCTTTCACACAGGGAGGGAAGGTTTTACACGCCCCCACACTCCCATAGACTTTCACACGTCTCCAGCTGGAGAACTGAGGAGGAATCGTATTTAATGCCTTTTTTGATGCGGAGGGGCCACAGAAATAGACGACAAAACAACAGTCTAAAAAAAAGTTAAAAAGGAGAACATTTATCACATCATTCACCTATTAGGGAGATTAGAAGAAAACTTACTGAAGGAGAAATTTGTTTGTTGTTTCATCAGTTAAATGTGGCGGTGTGGTGAGGGTCTTTGTTTTTTGTGACTGAACATGTGCTTTTGCTTTCGAGTGTGTTCAGACATCGAGCGTGTGAGTGTGTGTGAGCGAGAGATAATAACCATATTTAACATCTTATGACATTCCAATTTCATACATGTCGTCAGAGCAACGCATTGAAAAACAAGACACTGCTGCATTTTTCACAGGTTCTGCTTTGCTCTCTCGCTCCCTTGCATATTTTCATGTCTCCCACGTTCTTCTCGCCTCTCTCTTCCCCTCTCTCTCCCTCTCTCTCCCTCTCTCTCTCTCTCTCTCCCTCTGTCTCCTCTCTCTGTCCGTCTGCTTGTCTTTCGCACTCAACAGCTGCCGTGTCCATACTGTACAGTGTGTGCTATTTCTGAATGAAGCCTTCTTCTCGTGCAGCCAGCCTGTGAGCTTCACTGAAGCCAGACCACAACTAGCTGACTGTGGCTGTATGGTGGCCATGCTCATACACAGAGAAAGCCTAGAGTTGGCACCTGAGAGAGTGAGAGAGAGAGAGAGAGAGAGAGAGAGAGAGGGAGAAAGAAACAGAGAGAAAGAGATGAGACAGAAAAACATACAGTGGTACAGAAGAGTTTATTATAGCTACAGATGTGCTTTGGCTCTGAAACAAAGACCAGATTCAGATTGGCTTTAGCTGTTTTTCCCCTTTTTTTACTTTGAAGACATGCACTTTATGCTATGAAATATTGCTCAGTCCATATTATATGACTATAAAGCTGGGAATTGGGAAACTTACAGTATATCTCTGAATGAGTTATTACAGCCTAGGAGCAGCAAAACCCCATGATTAACAGTCAAGATTTTTTGGGTCTTTTCAACGTCTTTATGCTTTCTGGCTGCATCATTTACAGAGTCCTCTGATTGACTCATTGAAACTGTCGGGAGTGAATGACCAACAGCCAAAAGGATAGGGAGCGATGCACTGCCACCAACCAGTGAAGAAATTAGGCACTCTAATCAGAAAAATCATGATTGTTCAAGTCCCCGTCAATAAGAATCAGATTGATTTTTTTTTTAGTGTAGCCAGTTAAAAAAGCAACATTTTGTTGATTAAAACCAACTCTCTCTTTTCCTCCCTCTTCCCCCCACTTTTTTTTGTTGATCCCATTTTTTTTTTCGCCAGGACTGTCCTCGCCTGGTTCACTTAAGAAGCCGGGGAAGTTTGATTTCAACGCCCTGACTTCCCAGACGAGGTCCCCCCGCATGGCGTTCACACACCACCCGCTGCCTGTGCTGGCAGGAGTGAGACCAGGTGAGAGCCCTGCCATGAACCCAACAATCCCAACCCCCCCTCCCCTCTCCCCCCTTTTTATAATCTGAAAAAGAGAGAGAAGGAAAGGGAGTGTCAAACTTGATCCTAGATTGCCATATTTACCCCCCCCCCCCCCCCCCCCCCCAACCCCCCCCGAAACAAA